ATTGCTCAGACCTAAATCAGAGGTGGTTTCCTCAGTGAAAGGTTTGCATAGCTAACACTATTTTAATGTCCTACTTATTCCAAGTGCCCAGCGCAGGAAGCATGATCATCAGATCAGTGAGACACAGAAAGTAGACAGGAGGTTGGTGGCAGGACGGTCTCCACTTGTATCTAGTTCTGAGCATGGCAGCTTTTTTTAAACATGCTTTTCTCCCAGATATCTTCTTCTCTATTTGATTTGCTGCTAAACTATCTCATTCACTTATATGAGGCAACACAAGGAACCTAGTAGAAAGTCTGCTGTGTTTTTCCCTGAACTCGGAAGTCGTACTGAGAAATACGGGGATATTTCCTGGATATTACAAAACTTTGCAATAATAGAAATCATTTGCCTACTGTGCATGAAACCTGCCTGTCCTTTGCTTTTGTGCCCAGAGCAGTAATAAATCATGTGTGTTGCAAAGGTTAAGCACTTTTAACAAAAGTTAGCTTAACAAATATAAGCTGTGAGTTGATGATAAGAGACCCTAGGAAAGTAATGCAAATGTACAAACAGGAGGGTAGAGCAGGGAGAGAGGGAAACTTAGGATTCTTTGAAAACTTTGAACAACGAAGAATGACTCCTGCCAGTGATTAATCATGGCACAGAATAGAGAACAGAGCCTTAAATCAGGAGAAAAGCAGAGAGAGAGACGTGATTTTATCTTAAATAAATTCTCATATGTTTTATGGCTTAGAAACAAAGATTATGATTTTGGTGTAGAAACCTTGCAGAGCCACTCTCTGCAATTGCAGCCACATTTCCAAGTAAATGCAAGTATCTTTAAGGACTCCCTAGATGGTAAAGCTGAGAGCTGATGAGGTAACACTTCACCAGGTAGGGCACAGCCTTCTAGTCTTTCACAGTCATTTCAGAATGGAGAACACAGCCAGGACTTGAATGTAGCAGCCAGCCAGCCCAGCGCAGCTTTGCTACCAAATGAACCCCCAGGAGTGCTCTGTCCTCAGGGCCGGGTGTACTGGGAAGCACAGCATCATCTCACCCCACCTCAAGTGCTGCATCTGTTCTCTTCTGAGCTAGACCAAACTATTTCAGTCAGTGCATCACGAGGACTCTTCAGAAAGTGCCTCAGAGAAATTCTGGCTACAGGCTCTTTATGGCTTTGCTAAGAACAAGATGCAGAAACAGAGCATGAGGTAGAACTCTGAGAAACTTCTTTATAAATAAGCCCTCGGCAGCCAGGCAAAGTGATGAGGAGACACCGCTTAGCTGTCCACAACCCTTTCATGACCTAGACAAAATTTTGGGTCCAGCATCATGTTTTTTCTAAGATCAAGTAATATTTAAGACATCATACACAGCATGCGCCTCTGATCCTATACTGGGAAAACCACTGCCTCCTTTCACAACGTGGATGCAGACTGTTACATGTCCATCAACACACTCTGTAGACGGTACCATTACGCTTATCTGCCAGTTTGCTGTACCTACAGAAGGGCATCCTTATCGGACTCTGTTCACTCATTGCTTTTCTCTGGAGAGGGGAGGCTTGTATTTATTTAGGCAAATCCTCGGTACTCATCACTAGGAGAATAGCATTCAATCCTTACTTCATTGTTCTAGCTGCTATTATTTCACTGTTGTTATGCATAGGTTTGGTAAAAGCCATCAGGATCCCTCATTCTATTGTGTCATGCTGATACTAGAGCATCTTCATATATCTCAATATAAATTGTTCCCAGTAAATAGAAAAAAAGAGCAGCTGCAATAAGATACAGACTGAATAAGGATGTCAGAGATATTTTCATAGGTGTAAAATATAAGTAATCCCCCCCACTTTCTCCCCATATAACCCCCCCCCCAAAGTCTGTTTTCCATAGTGTGCCAACATACAGAGGAAATAAACTTTGAATTTATCCAATTTTCCTTCTGTTGTGAGAAGGTTGAAGGCATGACATCGATCAGGCAAAAACTTATCACTTTATGTCTATGTAACATGTTTGCAACAAATCAGCTCTCAAGCAGTATAAATTTAGGGGGATTTATAGGCGAAGGCAGAGATGACATGACCACTATACAGAAACATTTGGTAGAAAAACCAGGAGCTAGAGAACCTTGTTAAATGAGATTGTAAGCTAGTATGTGGGCTGCATGCAAACTAGCTTGTAAGAGTAGCTCCTGTACAGCACAGGAGCCAGGCTGCTGTCTAAAATGCTTCAAAGGTCCACACACAAAGATGCAGCATATTCCCACTCACACATGACTACATTTTTAAGAAAATGCAACATAATTGTGGGGAAGGAGATACTGTTTCATTAGTGACTTAACCCCTAGTAGAACCTTGTCTGTTAGCTAAGCTGGAATAATAAAATGATGAATATTTTGATATGTTTTTCTAGATTCATACACTAATTTCTTTAGACTAAACAGTTAATTCAGTATTTGTGTTTAATTTAAGCCTTGGTTTCCTACATGAAGCCTCCTTGGATTTTTCCATTACTGTTCTAAATACTTTTCTATTACTTTGAGCATCTAAGCAGCAGCACTAATTACTTTAATTAAATGTAATCAGACATTAATATTCCATAAGATCCCCATCCAGTAGTTAACTTAGGTGTGCAGTCTTAGGTCAGTCATCCTTAATTAACCTTCAGTTAAAGCATAAGCAAAGTCGTTCTGATCACTGGAGTAAGTTTACCATGGCTGAACTTTCTTTTTGTCTAACCATAGATAACAGAGCTAGCAACAAGCACATATTGGAGGGATTCTTAAGCATGAACTTCCTAGGCATTTAGAAAGAAATCAAAGATTGCAACACGGACTTACATGTCTGGGTGACAAGTCTAACCTTTGCAGTGCAACATCACAATATCGGAGCTCCACCTTCTTGACTTTCAGGTGGCAGGCTGGTGTGACAGGCATTGCACAGAATGCAAGGTTTCCCTGTCAAAAACAGAAATAACATTATAAAACATCCCCTCATAGCAGCTATTTTCCAGTGCAGCTTTTCTAGGACAATCCCGGTTGCATCATAAATTCTTTAAGTAATATGATCTTGAAGATAACGGCGTGCCCTGTTTGGCTTGCCATTTGTGCTGGTTTTGGCTGGGATAGAGTTAATTTTCTCCATAGTAGCTAGTACAGGGCTATGGTTTGGATTTGTGCTGGAAACAGTGTTGATAACACAGAGATGTTTTTGTTACTGCTGAGCAGTGCTGACACAGAGTCAAGGCCTTGGCGGGGGGGGATGTTTGGAGCGATGGCGTTTGTCTTCCCCAGTCACCGTTACGCGTGATGGAGCCCTGCTTTCCTGGAGATGGCTGAACACCTGCCTGCCCATGGGAAGCAGTGAATGAATTCCTGGTTTTGCTTTGCTTGCCTGCGCAGCTTTTGCTTTATCTATTAAACTGTCTTTATCTCAACCCATGAGTTTTCTCACTTTTATTCTTCTGATTCTCTCCCCCCCATCCCACTGGGGCGGGGAAGAGTGAGCAAGCAGCTGGGTGGTGCCTGGTTCCCAACTGGGGTTAAACCACGACATCTATAAAATATGATAGGAAAACGCTTACCAAGATCAGCCATTTTCCTGAGGCTACACTACTCAGAAGATATTTTCCACCTGTCTCCCCTCCAAGGAATATCTTCTCAATAGGTTAAGTCTACTACAAATGTGAGGTTCAAATCCAGGCAACACTCTATGTGGCTCCCACAAGAGTAGCCAAAAACTGCAAGCAGAAGCAAACACTCACACTGCAAAACCCTGCATGCAACTAACTACAGCAACCGAAAAGCTTTTTATAAGCAGCTGATGGGTTGTTTTCAGCTCCACCCTCTGGGCAACACACCTGTGCTCCTGCCCTGAGGACTCAGCCACGTGCTCCTTCCCCCAGCCTGAGTTTGTAGACTTTGTCACACACAGTTTGTAGATTAGAAGGATGCTTTGAGGCTCAAAGGTTATGAAAACTTTTAACAAAATGTAAAAAGAAAAAATACAGCCAAAAAAGGCATCAACATTCACACCTGTGAAATTTCCACCTGCTACGCAAAACTACAGAATAATTCTGATAAAGTTGCCTTATATACTTTAGACAGGGACAAAGTGTGCAGACACAAGTTTAAATGTGTCCTTTGTGTATCTTGTTAGTTGCTCTTTACTCATTTAGTCAGAAATTTTTTCAGCGTCCAAAGAGAAGTTCAGGTTGATCTTGTCTATAAATCACAGATTAGATGCAATATGAACCTTCAGCCTGCAGTTACCTGATGAGAAGCGGTATATAGTTACATCACATTTTTCTTCTTTTTCCAATTAGGGGCACAGAATCTCTGAAAGTAACTCAGCTTGTCAAAAATCAGGCGTTCCTCCATGTACCAAGCCATTGCACGTACAGGGAACTATCCTTCTTCACCATCAGAGTATGGCTTTTCCAACGTGATTTTTTTTAGATCAAAACTTCAACTAAAGAAAAGTTTGGGTGAATGGAACAGAAATTAGTAGAACCTTTCTAGAGGGCAGGCCTGTTCTCTGGGATCACAATGTGTGAGCTTCTCTTATAATAATGCTGTTTTCTTTAAAGAATTCTACTAAATATGAACACTTTTAAGAAGTTGAGTAGAATGGAACAGTTTCAGTCCAAGGACACATGGTATGTATGCAAAATTAGCATAAGGACTAATGGGTCACATTCCTATTGCTCAGTAAATATTCTATAATGCTAACAGCAAAGGAGCTATTTATAATTGAATCTGGGAATATATCTAAGTACTTTCAAAAGAGAAAAAAAAACCCCTTCTTTCCTGATACAAAAATATATGAAAAAATATGTTCTGGTCTTTGTGTATGAAGTTCTAAATTTCAAGTGCTAGATGAATTTGCCTGTTTTCAGTTTCAGTGTATGTATGTAGACAGTATGACAAGTTTAATTATCTAGCTATCTGCCTTGCATGTATTTCTCTAGTCTTTCCAGACTTCTCTTAAACTTGCACTTTTTTATATTTTGCAGTTCCCTCCTTTTGGGGTTTGGTGAACTCAGCTTGGAATCTTTGCTCTGTTGGGAAAAGACAGTCACCTGTCAATATTGAAACCAGCCATATGATTTTTGATCCCTTCTTAACTCCACTTCGCATAAACACAGGGGGAAGAAAGGTATGTGTTCTATCACGTTCTAGTATAAGAACAAGTAGTTAGTAGACTTACAAACATTTGCTATATTTTATATTTCTAAAGCATTTACACTTTTATCTCAGTCAGCTCTGAGGCAGAATAACAACAACATAGTGCTTTGCAGATCACATATTTCATCGCTGCTGGAGAGAGAGCAACCATACATTTTTAGGTGTTTTCTAGCACATATTTATATTTTCATATTAACTATTACTTGGAACTCCGCTGTCTGGAAGAATAGCATCTCACTTAGAAACTCCACGTTTGTAATTACATTTGGTGTTCCATCCTGAGTGGCATTTTAAAGGTGCTATTCTAGAAGTGTTGTTTAAGATGGCCAGGACCTTCTTTTATTCATCTAAATGAGGATGACATTGCAGTGCCATCACGTTAAGGGGTCGTAAGGGACAAATGAGCTTCTTTATGTTATGAAATAAAAGGAACTATGAGATACATATCTCAGCATGGGACAGGCAGACAGATGTGTTCAAAAAGTATCTAGTTTCTGTGTTTTCTACAGCATATTGGCACTCATAAGAAGATTTTTTTATTGGGTATCTCCTCACATATATTAATTAGAAAACAAAATGGCAACATTTCTTTTAATAGGTCATAAGTAAATCTCCAAGGATATTGGATCAGATGGAAATGATAGGTTAGCAAAGACTATCTTACTCGTATAAAATTAGCATGATGATTTCTTGTTGGAAAGTGACTGCCACAGCTGGCTGGTTTATTAACCTCTATTGCTGACCAAACCTTATCTTGTTTACCCGGACTTGGAAAGTATATCTTAATAAGCTGAGGTACGAAACCAGAGTCATTCTGGGTTAGATAATGTGTATACCTGTGGCGCAGGCACCTAGACTTCTAGGCTAGTCTATGTAGATTGAAGGTGGAGGCAGGAAACAATCTTGACAAAAAGATGCTCTGTAAATGGGTGGAGATTGCTGTCTGAGGTATGTGTACATATAGAAATACTGCTGATAGATGCTAATCAGTGATCGTATCCTCCCTTTTTTATACTATATCTAAGTTATGTTAGGAGCTAAAATTTGCATGAGGTTTTTATTGTAGTAAAAACCTTAAGTTCAGTAAATGTTTCTAACAAGTTTTTGCAACTCAGATATTAAAGCATTGTGCTAATGCATGTATATAAATCAAAATCATTCACAAGAAATTATTTATGACTATGAATTTGAAAAACATTCAAGCATGTGCATTTGTGCTTGCTGACCCGGTGCTCAGAAGCAGAATTGAAACTGTTATATGTCAGTGAAAAAATGCAGAAAGTTAGCAAGTGTAAACAATGAAAGCAGATTTGGATCCCAAGCATGTTTCACTTTTAATAATCTCATGGTCATATCAATAGCATAGTTAGGGACATTTTACATACATGGTTCTTAAAATTATTTTCTGCTAATTCATTCTTTCTGTTTACTAAAATAATTACACTTACTAAAAATGAGGAGTACATACAAATTTTAGAGTGTAGCACCAAAAAAAATTTTTGAGACCTACTTGGTTCCTAAATTGCCATTCAAAGCATTTCAAAAAACAAACTGATCCTAATGATTATGCTTAATGATTTTTCTTTCACTAAAGAATGTATTCACGGTATGGAAGTTTGAGGACAATCCTCAAATAACTAAGTTATCGATTCTGTTTATCCAACTAGAGGGTTGATATTTTTCAATTCTAAAATTATTTTATAAATAAAACATCTTGAACCTGTTAGCACTGTTGGAAATAGTTGTTAGTTCATAATGTTTTTGTGTTGCTTCCCTTATGTGGGGGTGCTTAAAAGGGTATTTTAAAGATTTTCTTGCTTATTCCATGCAGGCAGTTCTCTCTTACCCAATCTGTAATACAGAACAAGGCAGATTAAAAGGCATTGTGACTTACAATATCAGAACAAGCAGAGACTCTGAAAAAAGGTTATTCCAAAATGATTTATTTTCTCCTGTTGTCTTGACAAATGAGATTTCTGCTGGAAACAGCATGAGGTGTTAGGAATTTGCTTTGTACTTCCCATTGAGGTTCTGGTGGTACATGTGCACATACGTCAGAATCGATGTAAGCTTCATCACAGAAATGATAAAATGGGGTTATCATTACTTACTGAAGGACAGTAATGCCTCCAACTGTGGCCAAAATTTCAGGGTAGTATGTACATTTTGCTTTTTAAACAGAAATGCGTTGAGGATTTTGATACGAAAAAGTTTTATTGATTCTGCTACTTATGTAAAGGCTGACATATTTCAGATTATTTATAAATTATAGTATGACATAATATGAAAGTCAAGAACAAAATTACATGGAAGTTGTCAGTGGGTCAAAGCCAGGAGTTTCAGAATATTTAGTATCTTTAGCAATTCTAAGAATTCAACTGGTTTTTTGTACCAGCTCAGGATGAAGCAAATGTCTGATTATTAATAAAATATCAGAGGCACCGATGGCCTGGGAGATGCTGTATCAGTAACGAGGTGTTCTTACCACACTCACAAATATTAGGCTGCTGCTGTCAAACAGTGATGGCCTTCTATCATGTTACAAGAACAGGATTTGTTCTAGTTGTGGTTAGTCTGTTTTAGAGCAATTTCTAAAATGGTTGAATCAAAATTCTTCTTTGAGGAAAAAACTGCAATTTTGGTACCTTAAAAAAAATTCTTTGCTCATAGTTAAGGATTCAGTGTGGATTTGATTTGGCAGGTAGTATATTTGTGTTCACTTTTTTGGTAATGTTTTTTATATGTTAAAAATGGAGGTGTGTTTCATATGGGCTGAAGCACTTTTCGTTTTCAGGGCAATGAACCAATTGATATAGCAGCCAGGGAATTTCTTAGACAAGACTTAACTGTGATTGTCTTCCTACTCCATTCAGGAGCAAAAGGGATGGCAGTGCAATGTGCCAAATATTTATACCTCTTTGATCCAAATTTTCTCAAGGAAGTTCCAGTGAGCAGTAACATATTGCTTTATGTGCTGTCCAACAACTGCAGTGTGGTATCAGGTCGTGGATTTACAATTCAAGCATCATCAGATGTTATTCTGAATTGTGCTGTGTTATTTTGTATGTTTGTGCTTCTCCTTTTCCTGAGAAACTGGCTTTTCAGGTCCTGAAGGCTGAATATCATTGATACAGATAATTGGATTTCAAGATCCAGAATCTCAGCACAAGATGTTTAATGACATGCAGATAATTTCCCAGAAGAAATGCTGCTTTTGAGGAAACTTCCCAAGTTTCAGTTCTCTCGCAGGCCCAGCTTTGTCTCTCGATTTCCATTTTAGTGAATTTAACATGCAGCCCATTTCAGATGAAAACAGCCCTTTTTAATAAACAATACAAACCCTTATTAATACGCAAATCACACTCCTCCGCTCTGTCCCAAAGAAAAACACCGTTTTACTTTCTCTGCTTTTTTTCTTTGGATTCACATAAGCACCAAGGCAATCAGCAACAGGATAACAGAATAACTTTACTGACAAGCCAGTGTAGTCTAGTGACATTTAGGCAGCAAGCACTATGGGTTTCAGTCTCCAAAGCAGGGATTTCCTGACTGTCGTGGCTGATAGTAGTGGATGAACAAACCACCTCACTTCCCACTGAGCTAGTCCTCTGCTGGGATTTCTTCCTCCGTTCACCAGTGCTGGCAGTCTCTCTTCTCCAAGAGCTCTGCCTTTGGTCCCCCAAAATTTGTCCCCTGACTTACTGTAGCCTATCTGCCTTTGATCTCCTCATTCTCTGTGGACTTAATTTCAAGAGCCCTATTTCCAAGATTCTTTAAGACTGAACTACAGTTCTTGGCCATACTTTTTTTTTTTCTCCTAAAAACGTGTTAAGTAACAGCATTTGCTTTAGACACTAAGTGGCAAATTAATTAAACCTTGTCACGTAAGTGATGCCATGTGTTACTAATCATTTTAGGTCATGCTCAAGGACTTAAATTGTGGTTTAAAGTGGGTAAAGTTCTGTTTAAAATCACTTTATTTTTAAGACAAGGCAGGCCATTGATCCTGATGTTGACCTCTGGGGAAATAAACAAATCGATGTCTGCTGGCCCAGGACTGTTCTATACATTCTCTAGCTCAGTGTGCATAAAAGAAAGTTACTCGGTAAGATCCATAAGTCTGCCTTCTCACATGGGACTTTAATGAATGCAATCACGTATTATTCAAATTAATATCTTTATAAATAATTGGTTCATTCTATGCATCACAGGATAATGGTGATATTTAGCAGTTTCTAAACTAAAATAGGGTAGGAGAAAAGAGATTTATGAATTGAAATCACTTAAATGGTTTCTCTGCCAGCTAGTTCTGATTCCATGCTGTTCAATCAATTCAGAGTATTACTAGCATTTTTCTCAAGAGTGCAATATATGACAACTGCCAAGCTTTGCTTTGGTGATTACTAAAAGGACAGATACTGGTGTGAACCATATTTCAGCACTGCAGGAATATAAAAACTAAATTGTTAGAAATTGTCCAGGAGGAATGGATAGCAATAAGACATCAATGTCATCTGTAAACTGATTGGTGCTGAATTTTTAGAGGGCTTAATAATATGATGTTTTGATTTAGAGTGGCTTTAGAAAGTCAAAAGTCTGATGCAAACATCAAAAACTTTAATGAATAAAAAATGGACTACAGCATTGCTTAAATACTGCTTAAATGTTTAACATTTCTAATACTTCTACAGTATTGCATGTTCTCAGATGTGTTAGTAAGTGAACGTAAAATGAAACCAGCAGGTTAAAGTAACTTGTTTATTCATCCTCATCATTGACTTTAGAACAGGAAAAAATGCTAAGTATTATTTCAGAGGTACTGGCAAACTTTGCTGTTAGTAGACAATACATAGGGAAAAATGTATCTTCAGGGTCTAGATCTGTCTCTATACTGGGACTTGTTTCCTTATCACTTTAGTGATCTTTTCTTGAGATTGAATCAATTTGGAATATGTGGCGACTCAAATGTGC